TTGTGTACAGTTCGTATAGCTTGTCGATCATTCTGAAACTAATTTTCAAACATTTTTCATGAAATTGCGCCACCTGTCTAACCAAACATTATTTCCCCGTGGGCCTTGTTTATATAACGTAATTCAGCGCCTTCAGAAAAGCCACAGTAAATATCTTAGCTACATTTTAAATTGCATTTTTAATATTGATTTGAACAATCAATACTGACGCCGATTCTCATTAGAGTCATAAAAACTATCAAATTTTAGTTAATTACCCAACCACAACGACGATTATTCTCCAATCAAACGTTCTCTGAGCCTCAAAACACCGGAAGAGACGGCATTCATGTAACCACTATACCCCGTTTTGACAAAACCTTTTCGATTTAAAATGAAACTACCCATATATTGCAGTAAATTAACAAGCACTTCCGGAGACCAGGAATCTGCTAGGGCTATACAACCAACTTTAACAAAACTTCTTACAATATTGCGTGTGTAAAACTAACGCTATCGAAATATTGTGAATCGCTAGCGCTAAATAGTTTTGCCATCTGAAATCCCTTTTCATTGTGAAAAATGTGGTCTGGGCATTTTCATGGCTTATCGAAGTGTTATTTTCTCACAATAGGTCGGCGCGTTTCCAACACTGAGGCAATTCATGGGATAAAAACATTACTCCAAACTAAGTAAATAAGTAAATCAAGTTTAAAGTAGAGTCTAAGCCACAAAATGTTTCGCTCGGCCTAAACCATCATACGCAGCACACGCCGCAAGGCGCGTCCGAAAAACCAAACCGGGGAAAAAGAGCCAGCCAAACCTAGCGTGCCTTCATGTGCGCTTCGCTTAGAGTGATGCCAACTGCCTGTTTCCCTTTCCCACCACACCCTCTTCCACCGCCATTTTGTTCCTCTCATTGTTTCCCCGTGCGCCGGAAAGTGGCCCTTGTGTCCATCGGGGAATCCGAGGGGAAAAATTCTAATCCTCCCTCCGTGGGTTCCAGAACGCTGCTCCGAACTTGTGAGATAAGGTGCTTGTTTCCGGGAGGGTTAAAAGTCCCACAGATTATCGCCGAGAACCGAAATGGCTGCTGGTTTGTCGGCAAGTGGTATTACAAAGGGTGGCATCACCCTAGAAAGGCGCACATGAAAGCTCTCTAGCCAAAACTATCTTCCCGCGAGCTGCACTGCACCGTCATGTCGAGGCGACATGTCCCGGTGTCGTTAGATGTCTTCTTATGACTGTTAAAATGCTTTGTTAAGCATTTTAACAAAACAGAACTGAGCTGATTTCTTTTTTACCCAAAACCAAGGTTATTCACATAATTGTAAACCGAACGCCTCTTTTTCTTTTCTGTTAGGCATGAGAGGCGTAGGCAAGCGCTGGTTTCAGTTTACTCAGTAAGAAATGAAAATATTTCCTCCCCTTTCTATCTTCAAGAAATGGCACGCCAAACTAATAACTGAACGAAAGGTGCCATAATATTATTTTTTATGCGATCTAAATTCAACGCACCATTCTAATAACTTGAAATATGTCAAAAGCAGCCAAGTGCTGCTTTTGACATATTTCAAGTGCTGCTTTTGACATATTTCATGCCGTCTGTTTCTTCACCGGTTCGATCCCTGCTGCCACAGAGAACATTTGAAGATGAAGTTTTCTTACCTTTTTCCAGCGCAACCAGACGGCGCTGCGTGTGTATTTTTTTTTTTTATTTACAATTACCCTCAAGGCCCGAAGTGGCATTATAGAGGGGAGTGGTTGGTTAGTACAGTTCTAAATTTCGCGTTATCGGTGATGGTGACGATGTCATCGGGAAGGCCATTCCAGTCCACAATAGCTTCTGGCATGAGCGAATGTTGATGGACTGCTGAAGTGGTCTTGGGACGGTTGATGTTGCATGAATGATCCACTCTAGAGAAATATAGCTGGGCGGGCTGAGGAGAGACTGTCGTAATGGTTCAGAATAGTAAATTTTATGAAGAAGGCAAAGACGGGAAATTCTGCGACGGACGGAAAGGTCAGGAAGAGTTAACTGAGATTTCATTGCAGGGAGACTAGAAAAGCGAGAGTAATCACAAAGAATGAATCGAGCAGCACGATTTTGAAGAGATTCGATTGCGTTGGTTAGAAAAGCCTGATGGGGGTGCCAGATAGCTGAAGCATACTCCAGTTTAGGGTGAACAAGCGTGACGTAAAGGAGACGTTCGAGGTTAGAAGGAGCAGACTTGAAATTGCGACTGATATAGCCAAGTGAACGGTTCGCAGAGGATATTGTCTTGTCTACATGAACATTCCAGGACATATTAGTGGTTAGATGGACGCCAAGATACTTGTACTGTGCAGCAGTCTGAAGGGTAATGCCGTTGAGTGTTGAAGAGTTTAAGGGCTGGGAGGGGGAACGTGTGAAGCAGAGGTGCATGCATTTGGTAATACTGAGAGACATTTGCCATGTGCGGCACCATTCAGCAATTTTGTTAATGTCGTCCTCGAGTGCAATATGGTCGTCTGGGTATTTTATTAGTCTATAAACAACACAGTCATCAGTGAAAAGACGAACAGAATACGAGAGGTGAAGAGGGAGATCATTAATGTAAATTAAAAAGAGAAAGGGCCCAAGCAGAGTTCGCTGTGGAACACCGGAAGAAACGGGAGAGAAAGAGGAGGACGTGCTGTTAGCGAAAACGAATTGAGAGCGATGAGTAAGGAATGATTCAATCCATTGGAGAACAGGAGGGTCCAGTTTTACAACTAAGTTTAAAGAGAAGGCGATTGTGTGGAACTTTATCGAGCTTTGGCAAAATTAAGAAAAACAGCGTTAATTTGATAACCAGTGTCATGATTTTTAAACAGGTCGTTAGTGAGAAAACGTAGCTGGGTCTCACAAAACAGGTGTTTCCGGAAGCCATGCTTCGCTTTGGTGAAGAAGTTGCAGGAATCCAGGAAGTTAATCAGGTGCTTGTAGATGACGTGCGCGAGGATCTTGCAGGAGATGCGGGTGAGTGATATTGGCCGATAATTTAGTGGAGATGTTTTATTGCCGGACTTGTGGACCGGAATGATCTTACCAATTTTCCAGTCGAAAAGTAACACACCTGTATCCAGGGACTGCTGAAATATCTTTGTGGGGTAAAGGCCGGATGCAAATTTAGTGTTACTTAGAATTTTCGCATTAATACCGTCTATGCCACATGATGAAGACATTCTGAGGTATTCTATCATGCTGATTACACCTTAAATAGGATCCATTAGAAAAAAATTTTTTTTTGTAACAGGAGGAATTTTAGTAATGGGTGTAGAAACGGTGAAAGCATCAGAAAATACCCTGTTTAGGATATTTGCACATTCACTACTCAGTGTGTTATCACCAGAGCTATTCACTAGATTTATTTCTGATTGGGGTTTCTCATTAACAAAGCTCCAAAATTTGTTAGGGTTGTTTAGTAACACATTAGGTAGAGTGTGCTGAAAGAATGTGCGCTTACACTCCCTCAACATACTTTTATATTCAGAAGAGCAAGTGGCATGCTTAGACCAAGCTTCTGGTGTATTTGTTTTTTTAGCGTTCCTGAAAAATCTTTTCTTTTTGTTAGATACACGACGAAGGGAATTATTGTACCTAGGTTCAGACGCGATAGTTCGAATTGTTGCAATTGCAATTGAACGAATTGTTCGAATCGGTGGAATGGAGGAACAGGAGCAACTTCCTACTCTTATGTTGGCGACAGGAAGGAAAATATGTTTTTTTTACATCTGTCCTGTCTTTTTTTTACAGTGCAGTAAACAATGGTCAGTGCTCGCGTCGTCGCCTTCGTGAAAGATATCCAGAGGAAAATTAGAACATCGAGCACACGTCTTGTCCACAGACCACATCAAATCTGGAGTGATATTCGGCAGACGTAAAAGTTCAACACTTTATGCATTGTAGTCCTGTCGCTTATTGTCTGATCGTGTCAGAAAGGAGTTTGAAAAAAAGCCATTCTCCATTGGCGATTGCATTCACTTCACCTCTAGGCTCAGTATTGTCAGCTTTGAATCCAAATTACGCTCACGGTCTGATTTTAGTCATGGTGAGCTCTAAAGCGTTATCGGCCGCTGATTGGACGTGACTCGACAGTTTGAACCTAATTAACCAATGAGACCATTTCAACCCGCTTGAGAGTTCGCAATCTGGCAATCATTTGGTGAGAACGTCTTACAAACATAAAAATAGCCATAGAGGTCTCGGGGTCTCTGATGCGGTCGTCCTTATTATTCTATCGTCCACTGCAAGGTGTCTGTTTGTACACAACAGCAGTACAACTTGAGATATTTAATCAAAGCTCGACTTGAAAATGGCTTACAGTGTTTTGTTGCATCATTTTTGTTTCCGACAAACGGTTCGTAGAAGACGAACTGCGTTCTTCCATCATCGTAGCAGACGGTCTTCTTACAAATTCTATTTTCGTTCGGCCCACGAGAGTCAAATTACGTATCGCTTTCGCTTTAGTCATAGAAATATGCAAGCTGCTTTCCGGTCTCGTAAACCTCGGACGGTATGATGCTCTCCGAAAAATATTTTGACAGACGGCGCAGACCTTTCAGAACATGTTGACGTACCGTGATGCACGTTCAAGACCCGAGGCTAGGAGACGTGCTACTCTGGCTAAATTGCTCATCTGCAGCGTGAAACGTCCGTTGTGGCTGCATAACATCCCACTGTTTTAACAGGCTCACAACGAAACGTACTTTTTTCAAAACTTTTTGAAAAATGTAGAAGGGGTCATCAGGACGACTAGAAAATCCTGACGGGCCGTACTGACAATCTCCCCAGTAGGATATTATCAAAGCAAAGTAAGCACGTAAATGAAACGTTGGTGGACATCCCCAGACACAAACTTATTTAAGGTGCTGTCTCGGAATGCCAAACATGGGATAGGAGATTATCAATATATAGAAGAGGAAAAATATACAAAGGGCAAAATATTTCAGACATCTAAGTTTTATTTATCAACCTGACAAATCACAAAGGCGCTTGCTGGCAGATGGCACAATAAGCGATTGTAAAATGCAGTTCATAAACAAATGTTGTCACTTGAGTTAGTCACACTGGCCGGAAAAGTGGTCTTTGTGCACAACCATCTCAGGGACCAGCTGGTCAAGGGATGAGCAGCCTGCATGTTGGGGCAAATTGTCAGTCTTCGTTTATCACAAATGACTACAGTGTCGCGTGTCACTTAGGCTTTCGAACAATATACCCGATTTGAAGGTACGCGTGTGTACATGTTCAGAGAAAAGTAAAAATGCGACCACACCCCACAACAGTCTTGGCGGTGACCCATTAAACGTAACCGCGCTACCATGAACGCGTTAAATTTCCATTAAGTTTGTAATGTACTCGTTACATTTTCAAAACTGTAACGGTTAACGTACTTACGTTATTTATTTTGGGTAACGCGTAACTTCGTTACATTACCCGTCACATACTCTTCCCAAAGCACAAAAGAGTACATTTACGATTTTTTTCTTCAGATACCAATTGTTATATAAAACGTTGCTTTTTTGCATTTTTACTTGTGTTTTCTCTAAATATGGCGCTTATGCATAGTTGTAATGTCGTAACTTAAAGGAGGTAATTTGTAATTTATTGAGTAACACCAGGGTAACGTGTCTTACTTTATTTTAAAGCAACGCTGAAGCGTTGTTTTTAGGTAACGTAGGTTGGTAACGTATTTATATGATTTTCAAGTAATGAGTAACTTATTTATGCAGTTTTTTTTTTCGGTAACGCCTACAACAGTGGTTACAGGTGGTATGCCTCTCTGGCGTGTACTGTCAACACACGAACCCGAATGCAAACTGTTATCCCCCGGAATTCCAGTCGCACAAAATTCAAAACGTTGGCGTTCACGTTTGCGACATATGTATGCTGGCATTATGTTTACGTAGATATTAGATTCTCTTCCAGGTCTTCCTAGAAGCAGGAATTAAAGCCGGCGCGAGAGCCAGCTGCATATTTCGCTGCATACATCCCACAGCAACAACAATATCTCTAAAGAAGACCGGAAAACAAAGTAAATAACAATAAAGAAGCAGAAAAACCTGAATGTAAACAGATTCCAACAACTACACGTTTCGAGGGAGGCTCTTGCGCATACGCAAAAACATCCATCGGTTGCCTTTTTTCGTTTAGTCTTGCAGTACTCTAAAATAAACTAACCATTATCTGTCTTTTTAGGAAAAAAAAATCCGCTATGGGCTTCAGGATAATTTCTGGACATTGGTTAAGTACAGTTATGCCAGAAGGAGTATGAAAGCAATATATATATATATATATATATATATACATAAACAAATACGTGCAGATGAATGAACCGTACTTAATCCAATGAATCAAAGAGTCAAAGTTTTCAGGAACCCGCCGAAAGCCAAAAAACGGCGGAGCCAGGATATGAACTCTGGGCCTCCCAATGTCCGGTCGGGTGCGCTAACCTCTACACCACTCCACCTTGGCTTTCTGGCGTTTCCTACCTGTCTTATTAATGCACAAGAAACGAAATGTGTACAATCGGAGGTGTTCTGGAAACACACGCCGCCGTGTGGAACGCGGTACGACGCTTAGTTTCACGTGGTAGTGCTCGTTTGTGCTCCAGAAATCCTCCCACTGTTTGTCTCGCCCCGTGTACATGTAGTATTCTTTGTTTATGAGCTTTTAGAGACACGGTATCATCATGATCTGCGAGAATCAAGAGCCAAGTTATTGAATATACAACACGGGCACTTCACGTCATCGTACGTGGTCGCCGAGGAGGATATAAACAAATATGTGCAGATAAATGAACCGTACTTAATCCAATGAATCAAAGAATCAAAGTTTTCAGGAACCCGCCGAAAGCCGAAAAACGGCGGAGCCAGGATATATATATATATATATATATATATATATATATATATATATATATATATATATATATATATATATATATATATATATATATACAACAAGGGCACTTCACACCATTGTACGTGGTCTCCAAGGAGGATATGAACGAATATGTGCAGATGAATGAACCGTACTGTTGTATTCGCGTAGACTAAGTGGCTACCACCCGAATACTTAGATTTATTGATCGGAAGCGGATCAGCGTTCGGGGACGACTGGCTTGCGCCATCGGGGGCTCGTGTCTCTGGATCGCGCTCTGCGGGCACGCGCTCTGGCTGCAGATCGCTTTTGATATTTGGCGGTCGCGTGGCTCCGCTGGCTATCACACTCCTTCCCCCTCTAGATGCCGTCGCCATATCTATCAGGAGGCCGTCTTGAACGTTGTGGTCTAGAGGTAGGTGGCGGAACCATCTGCCCATCGGGATGAACCTCTATGAATTCCTGTGCTTTTTTTGTTGCTGGCTGCACAACCATCGGAATGGTCTACTGCGCGGGTAAAGCTTGTGGGCTGTTGTTGCTGATGCCTTTTGTTGAAGATGGTATCGTGACCACTTGTCTTGAAGCGTCTTCTGCGGAATTTCTGATATGATCTTCGTGCCTTCGTACAGTGCCATCCCTTGTCTTCACAACCCAAGAACGGAGTCCGAGCCTTTTAACCACTGTTCCTGGTATCCACAACGGCGTTCCTCTGAAGTTTCTAATGAATACGTTGCTGTTGACCGCAATCTTCCTAGGAGACGTGACTGGTTGTGTCGCTTCTTCATCTCGCTCTCTCTGCGGTTGTAGACGTGTGAGTGCTGTTGACAATTCTCGACCGAACATGAGCACAGCCGGCGTCTTTCCTGTCGTGAGACTGATTGTGGTATGTTGTTTAAGCAGAAATCGAGCAAGCCGGCACGACAAGCTTCCCGTCTTGTCTTTAGATAACGCCTGTTTAGTATCGTACACCATTCTTTCTGCTTGGCCATTGGTCGCCGGATGGTATGGAGCACTTGTTACGTGACGAATACCGTTATTCAGTAAGAATTGTTCGGTCTCGGCGGATACAAACGATGTGCCGTTGTCGCTGACAATCTTACGTGGTACTCCGAACGTTCCAAACAAGTTTCGGAGTTCTTGGATCAGTGAACCGGAGTTGATGTTGTTCATTTGGCGAACTTCGAGCCATTTGCTGAAGGCATCAACAACTATCAATAGCATTTTTCCTTCCACGGGTCCGGTGAAGTCGACGTGTAGAGTGTCCCATGGCTTCGATGGTCGTTGCCATTCCGGAACAGGTGCCTTGGGCGGTTCCCGTTAGTGCTGTTGGCAAATGCAGCATGTCCTTGCCTTCACCTCGATATCCTTGTCTACTCCAGGCCACCAGACGTAGCCACGAGCAGCCGCCTTCATTGTCACCATGCCTCGATGACCAGCATGCCGTAAATCGAGTACCTGAGCTCTGGCTGCGCTGGGGATGACCACTCGTGATCCTCTGGTCAAGCAGCCGTTGAGCGTCGAGAGTTCTTTGGCGACACTTTTGTATTGCCTGCAGTTATCACCGTTGAGCTCTTTTACGCTGCCGTGATGTACAGCCTTGTAAACTGTCGCTAAGGCTTCGTCTCGTTGAGTGAGTGCTGCAATGCGTTCTGGAGATAGTAGAGGAATCCGCGAGCCTGAAAGCATCAGCACCTCACCTGGGGTGCAGGGCTCGTCGATATCAGCAGGAAGGGGTAGCCGGCTGAGGGCGTCTGCGTTTTGATGTAGTTTTCCTCGTCTGTACCTTAGTTCATAGTCGTAGGCGCCGAGTTTTATACACAATCGCGTCATACGGGGGGATAGAACTTGCGGTGTGAGTTTCGAGCCTCCCAGTATTCCCAAAAGTGGTTGGTGGTCGGTGTAGATTACGAGCTGTCGTCCAGCGATGTACTCATGGAAATGGCATACAGCGTAGACATGGCCAACCCTTCTTTGTCCAACTGGGAATAGTTTTTCTCCGCGGCTCCTAGTGTTCTGGACGCAAAAGCGATTGGAGCTTCGCGTCCATCGGAGTCTTTCTGAGCGAGTACTGCTCCAATGCCGCACGGAGACGCGTCACAAGACAACAGCAGGGGCCTATTTTCGTCATAATGCTTGAGAACGGTAGAGTCCTTAATCAACTCCTTAAGTTTGCGAAATGCCTCCCTGTGACTGTCCGTCCAGAGCCATGGCCTGTCCTTCTCAAGAAGCTTGTAGAGGTCGGCTGCGACCGTAGCCCTGTTCTTGAGGGAGCGATCGTAAAACGCAAGCAACCCCAAAAAGGCTTGCAGTTCCTGTCTTCCTGTTGGCTCTGGAGCATTGAGGATCGCTTGCACCTTGTCAGCGGTTGTATGATTTCCTGCGGCGTCAATCCTGTGTCCCAGAAATGTAGCCTCGCTGACTGCAAACTGGCATTTTTCTTTCTTGAGTTTCAGACCGCAGCTGTCTAGCCTGGATAGAACTTCGTCCAGACGTTCATTATGCTCTTCTATGGTTGCTCCGCTGATAATGATGTCGTCAAGGTAGACGCTTATACCTTCAATGCCAGCTAGTGTCGTCTGCATCATCCTCTGGAAGATCGCTGGCGCTGCTGAAATTCCAAATGGCAGCCGCGTCATTCTGTACAATCCTTTAATTGTGTTGATTGTCAGGACAGCTGCTGTGGACTCTGTCACCTTCAGCTGCTGGTACGCTTGGCACAAGTTCATTGTGGAGAAGATGGTCCCTCCTCTGAGGTTTAACAGGACTTCTCCTGACGTAGGTAGCGGATAACTTGACGTTTTTGATGCGGCGTTCACAGTGCTCCTGTAATCGCCACACAATCTGATAGCTCCGCTCTTTTTCCGGACGAGTACCAGCGGCGTAGCCCATTCAGCGTGCTGGACTGGTTCAATGATTCCTTGCAGCTGTAGCTGCTGAAGCTCGAGCGTTACAGCTGAGCGGAGCGCGAGGGGAACCGGGCGAGCTTTGCAAAACTTCGGCTTTGCTCCTTCCTCCAGTTCCAAGTGCACTGGGGGTCCCATGTAGCCGGAGATTTCATCCTGGAACACCTTGGGATGCCGTTGAAGGACTGCTTCCACCTCTGGCGGCGTGGTTTGTTGCTGCACCAGGTTGATCCCCTGTACTCTGATGTGGAGTGCGTCGAACCAATCTCTGCCCAAAAGGCTGCAGCCGGACCCTTTCATCACTTGCAGCGGCAGGATATAATCTTTTGACTTGAAACGTACATGCACT